AAATTAAATAAATATCTGACATTATCTGAACAACAGGGACGGGAACCTTTTTTACCCTACTTAATCTGTTTTAGACTTACAAGTTGCCCCTTCATCGCGTGCACACAGGAGCTCCTTCACCCCGTACAGTTAAAGTATTTCACTCCCTTAGAGCTGACGTCTTTCCTTGCTCTTAAAGTCACAGCTCCCCCCCTCCCCCTCTTAGAGCAGCCGGATCCCCTCCTCCACCTACCCCCACCCCCACCCACCTCTCTAACACCATCCAGAGGCAAAAGAGGACTCGAGAATAATTGAATCCACCCTCCCTCCTCCTCCTCTTGCTTCTTCTTCCCTGCCCCCTCACACACCTACTCCATCTGGGCCCATCTCCACTGGGAAGGTGCTCAAGGTAACCACAAGCCCTACCACCACTACCACCTACCATCACTACCTAAATTCTAACCACTACTACTTACCTACACCACTACTTGTGTCTGAAGAACCTACAGTTACTACCAACAGCTACTACCCCTACCCGCAACCATCGAGAGAGAGAGAGAGAGAGAGACCCTATTTTCACAACACCAACTAAATTACCTCCCGTGCCGTGTCCCTTCACAAGTTATGCATAGGTAAAAAGACACACTCACTCACACGAACCAACGCCCTCTCCTCCTTCAGCCACCACCACGAGGACCTGGATACTAACAGCCTCCCGCATTATACATTCCCTCCTTCCTCTCCCCACCCCACCGCACCGCCTACCAGTTACTCAATGCATCCAACAGGATTTAACCGAACCAGACTAAACCTTAATCAGCACAACAACCTTAACCTAACCAGATCCAACCAAACCTAACCAAACCACACGTAACCTACCACAATAGAGCTCCCCAGGTGTGTTTGGGGGGAGGAAGAGGGGGGGGGGGTTCTCGCTACTGCAGAGGACCATGCTGGGGGAGGCGGGAGGCGGTGGCTCGGGGCTTCATGACAAGGAACACCACCACCAGGCACCTTTACTTCCTGGGGCTTCCCCCCCCCCAACACAGTCCCCCCAAAGAGTCAAAAGCACAAACACACACACATATATATATATATATGCACATGTTCAAATACAGACATAAACACACAGTGTATGCAAATTATTTCACATACATAAACACACACACACAGTCATATACTGTTCATAAAATGCACATATTCATACACAGACACAGAACAAACACTCCCCCGCCACACACAGACAGACACACACACACACAGAGGCATGAAGAAGAATGTGCTGCCTACGTCACAGCTCAGCTGGCCTTGGTGGTCACCCTCAAGTGCGCTGCTGTCAAGGTCATAACGCACTAATGTACCCCCTCCTGTCCTGAGTGTGTGTGTGTGTGTTTACAGAACTACATAGTCACTATCACGTATATAAGTATAAACAGCTACATAAAAGCGCGAATATGAAACTCCATTATCATGAGTGTAAACCAGAGGCAGGCCAGTGTTATACAAATGTGTGTGTATATATATATATATATATATATATATATATATATATATATATATATATATATATATATATATATATATATATATATATATATATATATATATATACACCCAAATCTTCCATACATGAGCTTGCAGAGCGGGTCAAAGTCAACCATCTCGGAACTGGTGCAGGAGGTGAGGTTGCAGAGGCCACGTTAAATACCTCGTGAGATAAACTGATCACAAGCGGAGGGACGAACGGAGACACACAGATACAGACAGACACAGAAACAGGTCAAGAACAACAGCCACCGCCCCGCGTCTAGACTGAGGGGTATAAAATAACGATAAAACCATCGCCACACTCGGGGGATAATTTCACGGCCGTTCAGCTAAAAACATCGTCAACACAACACCATCAATAATTCTCCACCATGAATAAAACATCGATGGAGTTTAGGTGGCGTTTAGGCCCAAGACCCAACACCCGTCCCTCATGACTTGACTGACGGAAGCTCTGCACGTTAGTTACCTTAATCCAGTGATAAGAGGGAAGGAAAGGAGGGAGGGGGTGACTGACTGGATGGGAGGGGGGATTAACTGGGTGAGAGGGAATGGGATGCCCAGGAAGAGGAGGGGGGAGGAGGAGGTAGGGGATTCGAACCTTGAGTGTCATTATATCATGTTGAAATATGAATCCCAGTCTTCAAGCTTTTATAGCAGCTGTTAGTCTCTTCTTCCTTACTCCCCACTCCTCCTCCCCCTCTAAGTTAAGGAAGAGGTTAGGTTAGGTCAGGTATTTTTCCGATCCACACACAGACAAGTGGCGGAGACACCAGCGGCCGCCCAGAAGACTCGGACAGTTTGTTTACTAAGTATGAAAAATACTCTCCGATCTTAATCATTTTATGAATATGCAAATTAGCCACCTGACGAAGTTGGTGTAGCTCCTGACCACACTGTAACTGTACTTTACTGTGCATTAAAGGAGCTGTAAGTGTGTGTAAGTGATTCTGTATTTTTCAAACTGTTAAGATGGTTACAAGGAATCTGGTATTGTGAGAAAGGAACGTAAGATAGTGTTGTATTTAGTAAGATATAAACCGATATTCATAAAGTCTTGACCCCTGTATTTTACTGTAACCCGCTGTAATATCGTAGATCATGTATTACTATTTAACCATTAGTCGAAATTATGAAATATGCTGCGTTCACAAAATACAATCACCTGACTACACTACAAGTGTAACTATTCTGTACCCAGGAACCGTACAGGAACAGTCATAGCTTAACTCCTCTGAACAACAACAGCTGTAAGATGGTACAGCGGCTATCATTTAAGAGACAACCAGTCGAAATTTATGTAATCCTCTGAGCAGCACAAGTTACAACCTCCTGATGACACTGTAACCCTGTGTTTTGCATCGAGGGATAACAGCTGTGGGACGGTACAGCAACTACCACAAATTATAGACAAGGGACCAAGTTTATGAAATCCGCCCAAGACATGAACACTCACTGTACTATATATACGGCAGGTCGTACTTAAAGGCAATACAGTAGCCAGGTTACAAAACACGACACAAACTGAAATTCTTGAAATTCTCTGATGCTATACAGTTAAGTCTATATTTAACGGGGTATATAGAGATGAAAGTCCGTTATATCGAGGTTCCGTTAGATGAGAAACCTCCAAATAACGGATTATATGGAGAGAGAAGTCCATTATATGGAGGTTTCACTGTAACATTGATACTGTATTTTAATCTGTATTAAGAAGTGGTGAGACGATACAGCAGCCAAATTACAACTGACTGTAACTGCGACTGGATAACGATAACAGTGACTGGACGATAACAACATTGACTGGATGATAACTGATGATGATAACAGTGAGTGGATGACAACAGTAACTGAATAACAACAGTGACTGAATGATAACAGTAACTGGATAACAACAGTAACTGGATAATAACAGTAACTGGATAACAACAACAGTTACTGGATAACAACAACTGACTGGATAACAACAACAGTGACTGGATGACAACAGTAACAGGATAACAACAGTAACTGGATGATAACAGTAACTGGATAACAACAACAGTGACTGGATAACAACAACAGTGACTGGATGACAACAGTAACTGGATGATAACAGTTACTGGATAACAACAACAGTGGCTGGATAACAACAACAGTGACTGGATGACAACAGTAACAGGATAACAACAACAGTAATTGGATGATAACAACAGTCTTGACACCTGTAGATGATAATTGCCATAACAACTCTAATCAACTATGAATGACAAGACAAGACACCAGATACCTTGGTAAGTTTCCTGTACACGAGAGATAAAGGCAATCTAAAATATCTAACTCATTCAAGATTATTATTATTATTATTATTATTATTATTATTATTATTATTATTATTATTATTAGTAGTAGTAGTAGTAGTAGTAGTAGTAGTAGTAGTAGTAGTAGTAGTAGTATTACATTTATTATTATTATTATTATTATTATTATTATTATTATTATTATTATTATTACTACGATAATATTGTTTACTTACAATACTCTGAGTGGTTACATTATTATTTCCTATTAAAAACATTACCATGAATGAGTATTATTACGTCATCTAAAAAGCATTATATATATGACGTTTCTAGTGTGTGATTTTTCTAGTTTTTTTATTGGTAATATTTTCACGGTCTTAAAAACACCGACTGTGATAATGTTGTGTGTGTGAGCAGTACATTATTTCCTCTCCGTCAACGACTTCTACAGTGTATATCCTGACGAAGGTATATAATGTGTGTAATCTTTCCCTGACATTATAACAGTAAAATATTCCCTTTACAGTGTTAATATCTTGTCCTACAGGATCAACCTTTTATTATTACCGCCCCGTCCCATCCCACCCCTTCTATCGTCTACTACGCCCATTCTCTTCCCTTTCCTTACCTCCATCCCGTTTCCTTATTATCCCATTTCCCTTCTCCCCATTTCTTCCCTCCCCACCCACAGGAGATAAGGGCACACAGTAGCCGCCCGTGGCAGTCAATGAGGGTGATTTATGATTTAATATGGATTATCTTAATGAACCTTGGCCTCCTAGGATTAATACCTCCACCCCCACCATAGTCATTATCACCCCAATATCCGGCCTGTTTGACTGCTCTTTGTACTGATAACAACAACAATAACAGTAATAGTATTAATAATTAACATAACACTGAACTGCATTACTGGTAAAGGTAAAAAATGTAAATAATAATAACAATATCAGCAGCAGCAACAACAACAACAACAATAATAATAATATTAATAATAATAATAATAATGTTAATAATAAAATCAACACTGAAATAAGTTTTTAGAGAGAGAGAGAGAGAGAGAGAGAGAGAGAATTAAATTTCAGGTAACCTACACGCCTATGATCACCTAGGCCTCACGCCCAAACCCGCCCCTCTACACACACACACACGACGCACCAACCGACTGACTTTACTCGTGATGGAGCGACGATGCCCGACGCCAAGGTGACCGACAACACTTCATGACGCAAAACATGACCACCAGCGCGTGACGTAGAGGCGGAGACTATGGGAAAAAAATGGATGAAGTGTGAACCGTATATTTGTCTCTCTGCCTACCTACCTAACTACCTGTCTGTCTGTCTGTCTGTCTGTTTATTGTTCTTCCGTTCGGTCTACCTGTCTGTCAGTTGGTCGGGCGGTGGGTCGGTGAGTCGGGTGGTATGTTGACTGATCGAAAGGTCGGCTGGTGGTTAAGTTGTCGGTGGATGGGTCGGGTGTTGGTTGGAACACACACACACACACACACACACACACACACACACACATCAGCTCGCTAGCACAAAAAAACTTTGTGCCTATTGCTGCTCCTACACATCGGCCCAGGGGCGTCCACAGCTGCTCAGCCACACAGCTAGTCAGCCAGCCAGTCTCACAGCCAGTCAGCCTCACAGCCAGTCAGCCTCACAGTCCGAGTCAGAATCACAGCCAGTCAGCCACATTGCATAATGACATAATGACTCTAATCTAAATGAAATACTGTGCCAAGACACACATCTGGCCGGGCGTCCTCCAACAGTCAGTAGGTTGTGAGTGTATGTGTGTGTGTGTGTGTGTGTGTGTGTGTGTGAGAGAGAAGAGAGAGAGAGAGATTATCTCAATATCTCGCCTCAAATTTCTTCACACCAAAACACTAGTTAGGTTAGGTTAGGTTAGGTTAGGCTTCGTCACGTTAAGTTAGGTTCCGGGTGGGGAGATAAACGAATCGCCAATTCCTGCACCAGGGAAATAGATCGGCAGCCATCAAGAGGGATACCGAGGGGCGCCGACCACCCACTGAACGATGGAGGGCTTCACTACCTGCAGGAGACGGGTGGGTGGTGGAGGGTCAGGGTGTGGGTAGTGGGAGGCCAGAAGTGTGTGGGAGGTGTAGGTTGTGGAGGAGGGCAGGGTGGGAGTCCATGGGTGCACGGGTACGAGGTGAGTAATGGATAATCTGTACCAATTGTTCCAGACATCTTTAAAACCACCAGGGAACAGATCCACACCATACACCAGGGAACAGATCCACACCATACACCAGGGAACAGATCCACACCATACACCAGGGAACAGATCCACACCATACACCAGGGAACAGATCCACACCATACACCAGGGAACAGATCCACACCATACACCAGGGAACAGATCCACACACCACCAGGAACAATCCACACCATACACCAGGGAACAGATCCACACCATACACCAGGGAACAGATCCACACCATACACACAGGAACAGATCCACACCATACACCAGGGAACAGATCCACACCATACACCAGGGAACAGATCCACACCATACACCAGGGAACAGATCCACACCATACACCAGGGAACAGATCCACACCATACACCAGGGAACAGATCCACACCATACACCAGGGAACAGATCCACACCATACACCAGGGAACAGATCCACACCATACACCAGGGAACAGATCCACACCATACACCAGGGAACAGATCCACACCATACACCAGGGAACAGATCCACACACCATACACCAGGGAACAGATCCACACACACCATACACCAGGAACAGATCCACACCATGCACCAGGAACAGATCCACACCATACACCAGGAACAGATCACACACCATACACCAGGGGAACAGATCCACACCATACACCAGGGAACAGATCCACACCATACACCAGGGGAACAGATCCACCATACACCAGGAACAGATCCACCATACACCAGGGAACAGATCCACACCATACACCAGGGAACAGATCCACACCATACACCAGGGAACAGATCCACACCATACACCAGGGAACAGATCCACACCATACACCAGGGAACAGATCCACACCATACACCAGGGAACAGATCCACACCATACACCAGGGAACAGATCCACACCATACACCAGGGAACAGATCCACACCATACAGACCTTACAATCAAATCTTATCACTATAACCTGGACCCAAAAATGAACGTATCTAATTAAGGTATAGAATGTCAGGTGGGAATTTTAACGCCACTAGTGAAGTTTATTTCCTTCCTTCCTTCCTTCCTTCCTTCTCGTACTGTCAAAGAGTGTGTGTGTGTGTGTGTGTGTGTGTGTGTGTGTGTGTGTGTGTGTGTGTGTGTGTGTGTGTCATGTGAACTATCACTATTTCAACCAGCCAGTAATTACCAACAGAGAAAGTGCTTACAAACACACACACACACACACTCTCTCTCTCTCTCTCTCTATAAAAAAAAAAACTTTAAACTTTTTTTTTCTCTCATAATTACCGAGTCTATTTTGGAGTGTTTGTGTTTATATTGGTGAGACTCGCGCAGATATACCGCCCTGTGAGCTGTTATATCTGCTTCAAGAGGGTATATATACTGTATACTGTGTGAGGCAGACTGTCTTACTATCATGCCTTTATAAGTATACTTGACAAATGAGAAGGACTCTATCAATACCATATAAATATTCTTCTTAAGTATGGAGGAGGATTGTATCAATACTTAAATGACCTTTTACACACACACACACACACACACACACACACACACACACACACACACACACACACACACACACACACACACACTCTGCTTGACCATGTTGAACATGACTCTTCTGTCGTCTTGCAAGGTCATTCTCTCCCCCTTCCACCCTTCACCACCCATTACCTCCCCCTCCCCCCCCTCCTCCCTTACCTCCTCCTCATCCTTCTTCTCATCCCTACACATTTTCCTCTTCCTCTCCCTCCATCTTTCCTCTTTTCCTTCTCCTCTTCCTATCCCTCCTCCTCCTCTTCCCCTTCTCCGCCTCTTCCTCCCCCTCTCCTCCTTGGTTTACAGACAACAACACAACAGGTACACCTTGACTCTGTACCTACCTGTGACTTAATTAAAATAAACATAAAACACAAACACATCTTTGTTCCTGCATCTATATACACAGCGTCTCCAAAAAAAAACAAAACATAATTGTTCTTTAAACATTAATAAGCACTTTACTCCACTCACTTAAATCGGTATTCCGGAATATTTACGCTAATTAAATACAATAGAAATAAATATACCATATCCACCACAATAACTTCTGTACCTGTAAAGCTCTCTTACTGTACCTATGACATCTTCTGTACCTGTAAAGCTCTCTTACTGTACCTATGACATCTTCTGTACCTGTAAAGCTCTCTTACTGTACCTATGACATCTTCTGTACCTGTAACCAAGACAAATTCTGTACCTGTAACCTATTTACCTCTAACTAGTACTCCCCGGGAACCAAAAAAACACCTCACATCACCACCACCACCTCCACCTCCATTGTGACTCCTAACTCTTACATACAAGGAGGAAGAGATAGGGAAGAGGAGGGAGGGAGGAGGGAAGGAAGGAAGGAAGGAAGGAAGGAAGGAGGAAGGAAGGAAGGAAGGAAGGAAGGAAGGAAGGAAGGAAGGAAGGAAGGAAGGAAGGAAGGAAGGGAAGGAAGGGAGGGAGGGAGGGAGGGAGGGAGGGAGGAAGGAAGGAGGGAGGAGGGAGAGAGGAAGGAAGGAAGGAGGAGGGAGGGAGGGAGGGAGGGAGGGAGGAGGAGAACTCTACCCCTTCACGAAAACCAAATAAGCAGAGAAGAAAAAAAGATGGAAAAGGAAGAGAATGAAGGAAGGAAGGAGAGAGGGAAGAGGGAAGGAGAAAAAAAGGGAGGTAGGGAGGACAAGAACTTATTAGGTAGGGAGAGAGAATGGTAGACAGGGAAGAGGAAAAATAGAAAAAGCAATTTCACTACCTGTCACTAAGGGAAGGAGAGAGAGAGAGAGAGAGAGAGGACTCTCATATACACACACACACACACACACACACACACACACACACACACACACACACACACACACACACCACACACACACACACACACACACACACACACACACACACACACACACACACCTACCTACCTCACTGTCACACTCAACTTGCCATCAGGGTACACACTTGTTTCTCACCTGACTCTCATTAACACGCTCAGGTGTGCCTTAACCCTTTACGTTTTGCCTCTTACTCAACAGTCTTATCAACTCTGTATACCTGTCTCAGACGCTAATTAAAATATCTACTGTGTTATACTACAGGGGGATATATGCTGGCCTGGGCTGTGCTGTGATATGCTATAGTGTGCTGGACTGTGCTGTGTTGAGCTGTGCTGTGTTCCATACATAACCCAGGAGATGGTCAGTACAGGTTGAGGTGAGGAAGCCAAGTCACACCTTTGCTACTACACCTCCTCCTCCTCTCTTTCTTCTTCCTCTATCTCTTCTTCTCTGTTCGAGTACATGCTATTCACATACATTTTGGGTTAGGTTAGGTTAGGTTGGGTGTACAATAGAAGCTGAGGTTTAACAAAGAGGTCGAGAATAAACTAAATGAATAGAAGAAGAAGAACAAGAGCAAGACCTGACAACCCGCGAGAGTGACGAACAGTAACACGGTCACACACATACCGTACACCCGTCACCTACCGTCAAGCATACCACCGTCACCCGTCACCTACCGTCATCACCCGTCACCTACCATCATCACCCGTCACCTACCGTCATCACCCGTCACCTACCGTCACATACATACCACCATCAAGCGGCCGTGTAGGAGCCATGTGACCTGACCTCAGCTGCGCCTCACCCTGGGTTATTCATGGACCCAGGCCCTGCAGGACCCAACCAAGTGCCACCGTCGGCGCCATAAGTCTCGAATAGGGCCACTCTAAACCTGACCTGACCAAATTTAGCCTAACCTGACCTGACCTAACTTAACCTAACCTGACCTAACTTAACCTAACCTAACTGAACCTGACTTAACCAAACCCAACTTAACCTTATCCCATCACCCTACAAGCTAACCTAACGAACTAGCCCCTTAACTTCACCAAGCACTTATCCTAACGCATCCTTACCTGACCTAACTCAACGTCACTCACTTCCGACCCGACCTGACCTGACCTAACCTGACCTGACCTGACCTAGCCTAAACTGTTTAATGTAATAGTTCTCTCTTCTCTTCCCATCCTCGCGTCCCATCGTTAATCCTCGAATCAGAACAGGGGAAATAAAATAAATAAATAAATTAAAACGTAAGTAAACACAAAAAAAAACGATTTAAAAAGAAGAGAAAGACGCGAAAACCAAATAAACAAACATGAGAAACTAGAAAACGATACAAACAAAGAGATTATGGAGAGAGAGAGAGAGAGAGAGAGACGCGAAAAAAAATAAAATACAAACACGATGGACAATAAAGCGAAAATAGAATAAACGGGAGTAACAAAAAATAAAACAGATTAAGGAAAGAAAAAGGATAAGGGCTTACAAAAGAGGGGAAAGGAAAAGAAAGAACGAAAGAGAGAGAAAGAGAGAAAGAAAAAGAAGGAAAAATGAAGCAAATACCGTACCTAACAGAATAGATCCCACAAACAAGCTATGATAAAAGTGAACATAGCGAAAACAACGATAACAAAGGGAGAGGACAGTGGGGGAGAGGAGGAGGAGACGAGGGAGGCGTGGGAGGAGAAGGCGTGGAGGAGGACGCAGGGGGGGTGAAGTAATTTTCCTGGTCAAGTTGTCATTCCTGTTTTACACATCATCTTAATACTGTAATAATAATGATGAAAATGTGAGCAATAACAACACCCACAACACTCAAAACAACAACACCCACAACAACAACAAGACCCACAACAACACCCACAACAACACTCACAACAACACCCGCAACAACACCCACAACAACACCAACACCCACAACAACACCCACAACAACACCCACAACAACACCCACAACCAGTACACCAAGATACAAGACGACCAATACATCATAATTACAACAAATAAAAATAATAAAATAACATTACTCTCCCCATAACACTAACTCAGCCATTACACTCATAACAGTAACATGTAATAAACAACACAATGTACATGAGAAGAGGTGTAATTACTGCATGTACGACACACACACACACGCACACGCACACACACACACACACACACACACACACACACGGTTATAACCACAATCGAACAAGAGATAAATTACAATACCAAAAAAATAATAACAAATAGCAAGTCATAACGATAATACAGTCATTACAGAATACAAACACGAGTCATGGTACAGTAATTTACGTAATTAACCCAGTATTTAAGTTAGACAAATTAACCAATCAATTACAATAACGATTTAGTCCAAAAAGAAATCATTGTAGCCAAACCGTAAGATCACCTGAATGTTGTCCCATTATTTCATCACCTTATAATAACACTGTACAGGTGAGGATGGTTAATATTGTACAGGTGTAATGACGGCGGGCAGGTAAAGATGGTTAGGTTAAGTGAGAAAAAGTCAAGCTCACCAAACAAGAACGTAATATACTACTAAGAACAATAAACACATCATAAATACTGTAATAATTAAAAACACAAACTAAACACATTCATCAATTATCACATTTCATTATTTTTATTCCTATTTCTGTCATTCCATTTTTTTATCTTGTTTCTGTCGGTCATTATTGGCGTTCATTATCATTCTCTTTCAATCAGTGTCAATTTTCTCGATTTCCATCATCATTCTCTCCTCATCCATCATTGTCAATATCACTATTTTTTTAATATTCAGTCCATCATTTTCTTCTGTTACATCTATCATCAATTTTGTGGTTTATTATTATCAATTAACTGTTATCTTCATCATCACATTCTCTCATTTTTGGTTCCATTTATCATATAATCGTTCTAGCTTGATATTTCTAATTTATTTGTGTCTCTACATTTGTGTTATTCTGTAATCCTAGTTTTTTTTAATATCATTGGTGCTACAAGACAATTACTGTACTATTGTTATTATTAAAGTGTTTTTATTATTTGTAGTAGTAGTAGTAGCACTGGCTCTGACGGCCTGCCGCCTCATCCCCCTTAACAAAAACCCAAGATGTAGGCCTATAGGGGTGGG